CGCCGCTCCCGGGGGGATGCGCGGGGCTGCCCGCGCCCGCGGAGCTGGGAAAGGTCTGGGACACCCCTACGGGGACCCCGTGGATCCTCATTTGTCTCCTCTGGGATCCCGCTCTCCTGCCCTGGGACCTGCATCCTTCCTCCTCCCGGGGGAGGTACCAGCACCCCGTCTGCCTCGCCAGGACCCCCAGGGTCACCCGCCTGTGGTGCCCAGACCCCAGTGGGGCAACGGAGCTACCGGCCCCCTATCCGCTGTGGCCAGTCCTGTCCATTGGCGTCGGCTGCGGAGGTCCCTGTGCTGGGTCTCTGCTGGTCCCTGAGCTCCTGATCCTGGTCCTGGCAGGTCCAGCAGGGTGGCAACTTGGGCACCCATGGGTGCCCATCCTGCCCCATCCCTGGCCGTGGTCTCCAGCCCCTGGTTTAGTGCTGGGAGGTTGGTGTCTGGCAGCGATGCGGAGGTCCCTGCTCTGCCACAGGTTTCCTTTGCTGCTAGGGCTGGGTCCTGGCACTGCCAACTCCCTGGGAAGGACCTCGCTGGCAGCCGGGCTCGGGGCAGGGGGCTCTGCTTGGAAGGGGCTGTTGGCGGCTCCGCAGGGTGGCTGCGATGGAGGGAGCAGGACTGGGTGGGGGCTCTCGTGAGGCTGCGTCTTTTGGTCTTTCCTCCTCTCCCGCCCCTGCTCTTTCCCAGCTAACGTCCCGGGGGACGGTCATTCCTGGGGACATACCGCTCGCTCCTGGGCTTTCCCAACATGGCAATCTGGGCGCAGCTGGTGATGTTCCCTGCTCCCCATTGGCTCTGCACTGCCTGTTGTGCACTGGGGCGAGGGGGCTCAGCATCCCTGCGCTCCTCGGGCCCTGACGGTGGTGACACCAGGGTGATGCCAGGGTGTCACCGCACACTGGGGGCATGTGAGGAGGACGTGCGACACTCATCACAAGGCAGCGAGGCCACAGGGCTGCGTGCAGGGGCGCACACAGTGCAAGCGAGCGCGTGCTCACGTGCCGGCCCGGCCGGACCCGGATGCCAATCCATGCAGGAGCCCCCCCCAGCTCGCTCCATGGTGCCTCCCCCCAGGCAGCCGGGCCGGGAGCTGCCGTGTGCTCCGCGCTCCCTCCATCTGCTCTCCCACTCCAGCCGCCCGGGCTGCTCTTGTTTATCCAGGGCCGGAGCAGCTGGCGGGGAAGGAGGGGTCTGGGGCCGTAACCCTTTCGGCGCTCGCCCACGGCTCAAAATGGCTTCGCGTGACGGCGGAGAGGAGCTGTCGGGCGCTGGTGGCTCCCAGTGCCTTGGGGACGCTGCTGAGCACCAGGGCTGGCTGCTGCCACCATGGGGCGTCCCCAGAGGTGACATCCGGAGGGTCTGTGCAGCCCCCGGCCTTGCGGTGCCGCCCCGCGGAGCTCTCCATAACGTGGACAGCAAAAGGAGGTCAGGGAACGGCCCCGCGTGGCTCTTTTGTCTGCGGCGCCCACGGCTCCTGCGCCGGGATGCGGTTCCCGCACCGGGATGCTGCTCCTGCTGCTTTGGGGCCTCCGGCTGTGCCCATTGGGATGGGCAGCCGCTGGTGGCAGAAGGGGCTGGTGCCGTGGGCAGGTTGGACACATTTGGGGCCACAGTGGTGGTTTGGGGGGGATCATGTCTTTGCAATGGCCCAGGGTGGGGGGGTGTGGGACAGGGACAGACGGGTATCCCTGGGGAGATGGCAAATGGGATCCCCGGGGCTGGGACAAGGCTGGCAGCGAGACAAAACAGCTGGGAGGAGAGGATGAAGCATTTGCTTCTTCCTCTCTCCCTCGCTCGGCATCCTCCAGGCAGGATGATCCCATTCATGGAGCGCTGGGCTGGCCGGTGGGATCACGTGCAGGGCGAGGGAATGGAAGTGCTCCAGGTGCCGGTCACATCCAGGTGCTTCTTGGTGCTGGCAACCTGGCTTGGCTGAGAGGTTTCCTGGAAAGCTGCTCCGGAGAGCGGCAGCGGTGGAGCTGGATGGATTGGCAAATCCCTTTGGCCGGGCAGGGAGAGGGCACCCTGCCAGCACAAGCTCACATGAGCTCACAGCCGTGTGCCCAGCTCCTTCTCGGCCTTCCCGGCACCTCCTCTTCTCCCTTCCCAGTTCTCCGCAGAGGAGACATCCTGTTGCTCCTGTCCCACTGTTCCCTCCCTCTGCTCCTGGGATGGATCCCAGTCCTTGGCATTGCCCTTCCCTCCACCAGTGTGCCCTGGGGACTGCCCTCCAGGGAGGGATAAACCTGGATATCTGGGAAATACGAGTCAGAGGTGGGATGTTGGGACTCATGGCCACCAGCCAGCTGGATTTTTGGTGCAGGGCTGCATGGCCGGAGTGTGAGTGTCCGGCGTGTCTCGTGCCAGGCGTGGGGGAACCTGGCACCGGATGCTTCCTGCAAGTTTCCAGCCCAGAAAAGATCCCCTTCCGCGTGCTCAGGGCAGCCCCTGCTCGGTGTCCCACAGGGAGCCTCCGCCAGCAGCTTCCAGGATGCTTCCCGCGGGACCACGAGGACCCACATGCTGCCCGCTCCCTCCAGCCAGCAGCATTCCCGCAGCATTCCCGCAGCGTTCCTGCGGCGGCGTTCCCGCTCCCCGCGCCGTGCCGGCCAGCGCTCCGCCCTGGCGGCAGCGGCCGCGTTTCGACACCCCGGGATGCTGCTGACGCTGTGATTTGCCTGTGGTTGCTTTGCTGTGGCTACGCGTGAAGCGGGCGAAGGGTGAGCGGCGCCCGGGAGACGCTCGTGCTGCCAGCCGGGATAAACCCGGGACACACCAGAGATGGGATTCACCCATGGAGCGGTGGGGCCAGACCCCAGACCACTCCATGGCCGTCATCCCAGCCAGCTGAGCTGGACGACGTCTCCGTCATTTATTATTTTCCTGCTGTTGTTGGGTTTTCCCGAGTGCTCTAAGGAAATCCGTGTTGACACAGACGGGGCGAATTGGGTGTCGGAAACCTTGCGGGAAGCGGCCGTGTTTAGACCACGTGCGTGCGCCAGCATCTGCATGTCCCTTGGCCCGGGCGGCCCCTGTGCCAACACGGTCCCTGCCGCCGCCATCCCTCTGCCCGCCGTGCCCGGCCCCGTCCGGCTCTGTGGCTGTTTCCCGTCCTCGTGCCTCGCCATTTCCTTTCTCCGTCGCTCTGTGTCAGCCTTTGTCCTGCCGTCAGCCGCAGTCCGGGTGTTTCCCGTCCTCTTGTCTGCCTGTGCCAGCCCCACTGCTCCGGCCCTTCCTGGTCCTCTGTCCTGGCATTTCCTGTCCGTGTGTCTGTCTCCTTTTCCAGCCCTGCTCTTGCCTGTCCTGGGCCTCTCCCTGTCCTGTTGTCCTGGTCCCACTGTCCCTGTCCCACTGTTCTGCCATCTCACTTCCCTCTGTGCCTGTCCCCATCTCTTCTGCTCTCTGCCCTGACTTATCCCACCCTGGTCTCTGGGTATCCCCTGTCTGTCCTGGTCCCAGTCTCTCTGCCTGTCCTGGTTCCATTCCCTGCCTGTGCCTGTGCCTGGTCCTATTCCCTGCCTGTCCCTGTCCTGGTCCCTGTCCTGGTCCTTGTCCACCCTGCCCCAGTTGTCTCCTGTCTGTCCCAGTCTCTGCTGGTCCCCAGTCTGTCACTGTTTTGTTCCCTGCCTGTACCAGCCCCTGGTTCCACTATGTCCCTTGTGAGCTCTGGTACCGATCCAGTGGGTTCTGTGCTAGCACCCGCTACAGGTCCCACTGCCTGTGCCAGTCCTGGGACAGGCCCTGGTGGGTGCCATGCCAGTCCCTGAACCCAATCCCGCTGTGCCCCCTGCTCATGCCAATCCTGGTACTGGTCCCGCTGTGTCGCCTGCCCGTGTCAGTCCCGGTACTGGTCCTGGTTGGTCCCCTGCCCGAGCCAATCCCGGTGCTGCTCCCG